AATTAGCACTTTGTACTGCTAGCTTACGAGAGATACTTCCTGCCTGTTGTGTCTGGTTAGCATAATGAACATTTCAATTCTTACCATGTCGAATGCTAGGTGTGGAAAGATGTCCAGATATTGAAAACATTGTTAGAGGCGAAAAACAAGGTCGGTCACTGGCATTTCGATATCATGTGGTCAGAGTGAATGTTTTCCCAAGTGCTTTTCTGTCTGCCCAGTTGCCATAGTTGGAGAGTTGCAGCACGATAGTTATGTTGTTTTTGGGCAGGAGAAATGTTGTACCCTCCTCAGCAGTCTGTCACTCTGTGGAAGGATTGGCTTATGTTGTTCTCATGCCAGTGTGTTTACTGTGGCAAAGGATTTTTCCCTTCCCTTTGCTAAAGATTTAGGGCACACATGCCAGCATAAACAGTTAAGGAATGCTAGTTTTTACTTGATATATTACTAAAACTATTAGTTGATTATGACAAATAGTTGTTTGTATATCTCTTGTAAAAATAAATAGACTTACCATCATTTTGTACTTATTCTTAGAAAAGGGTAACATTCACATACCAGCAGCAGGAATCTACATTTCAAAATAAAAGACTTTGGAATTTGTGCTCCATTGCCTGTTTTAGAGATAAAAAGAGCGGCTTTCCAGGAGTAATTATTGCGACCTAATTACAAGAAGTAAAAACAATTGAAAGAGCCTCGATGGGTAAAGTGAGTTTAATCCTAATCTGTTTATGAAATTATCCCCTTTTATCCCCTTCCCCTCTGGATCAACTCTAATACGGAGCACATTTCTAATTGATATCACTATTACTACTTGTGGAACTTGGCAAACAATAAGTGCTGTCTTGTTGAGCAATGGATTTGGGTATATCTGTCTTTGATCTCTCCTGCATTGTACTGCGACACAAGCAGATAATTATCCAATCCGAATCAAAGCAGTAATTAGTGTGTCCCGAAGCATGGATCATAGCATTTTAGCACGAGGGCAACGGCGCAGCCTACAATAAGAGTTGCCATGCAAGCGACCCCGCTGAAAGGTATAATATCACCACGTAACTATGGCTACAAACCGGCGGCTGGTGCGTGAATCACAGAGGTGCCTTGGTGCTTTCAAAGATCCTTTTCATAGACGGCTTCTCGGAGGTAATGCCTGTGATGAATGGATTTCTGCTCCGAGTGGGTGGCTTAGACACAAGGAACAGTGTGTGTGTCTTTTTCCGTAGGTGTTTGTGTGTCTGCCACCCTCTCGAAAAGATAAGGGGTTGTAACCAGACAAGGCCACGCCGTTGTCATCAGCCACGCTCGCAGGTTTTTTTAGCACCGTGAGTAGCTTTGAATCGCCAAGCATCGCAGGGAAACACCTCAGACTGCAGCCTGGATCCTTCATGGACATCACCAATGTTTGGCACTGCCAGTTCTTGATATTGGCTCTTCCATGTTTTATCAAAGCATTAGTTACTCCTGCCATAAAGCAGATGTTGGATTTTCACCCTGACTTGGAGCTAATCACAAAGACGTGCCGTGGGTGAAAGCTTTCTAACTGCTGTGCAGAGTACCAATAAATTAACACCTCCCTACTGTTTAATGAAGGCACAATAATATGTGTGTGTGGGTGGGGGTTTTTATCAGCATTGTTACTGTATGACAGCTGGGAACACCAGGATGTCTTTGGTAGGATAGGATTATCCCAGAATACAGCCTTGGACTACCTGACCTCATATCTGTAGTACGGACGCAGCTCAAATTCTCCTGAAATCTCCTCTTTTGTATTCTACACCTCCAAAGGATATGGGCCATTGCTGATCTCCTTTAACCATATTAATAGCAAATCCATATCCCCTCACCCTTAGACTCTGCGGAGCCTGGTAAAACACACTGTTAATAACACTGTATGTGACACTTTAACATGTTGAAAGTGAGGTTATAGGACGCCGGTGATTGTTGACGTAATCCAATTTCAGAGTCTAATAAACCGGACTTCCTGGATCATTTCACCGTTTCACGTGTTCATATAGAACCTATTAGGAAAAGTGGATTGAAGATGCAGCAGTGATCCTTGGGGGTTGGTAATAACATACCCCCACCAGTGCAGACCTGTGTGTTGCTATTTCCAGCCTGAACGCCCACTAACCTTTGACTCATCTACTCTTATTTCCACTGTAACATCCTCTAATCGTCAGTGTTATGAATAGATAAATATATATGAATGCTACCTTTTTAATGTTTGACAGTTAGACACTTTAGGATTGAACTCAATATTCCTGCCACTGTAGATGTGTGATGGTTCTTCAAACTGTGTACTAGCTTTTTGAGGGAAATCAATTTACTGCAATTAATGGGCGTTCAAATCATTGAAAGCTGCTCTGAATTCCTCGCCCTGTTAGAAATGCCATTACCACGACAGTCTTAGCAAAGGTGCTTAATTTATTTGCTTTTTCAAATCTAAACTAGACAAAAAGAACGGCCGAAGACAAATCAAACCTAATTTATGCGAAGAACTTGCACAATGCTTGCAGCAGATCATAAATGCGTAAGTGATAAAAGCCTCTAAAACTAAGTTGGACGGGATGAAAGGAGACGGTTTTACGAGTCTGAGGCTTGCACTTAGTGCGACAGCGCCTGTGCGTTAGGAAACACTCTCTTCTCCGTTTACTTCATCAATTTAAATGGAGAATAATGATGAGCAATTGCCAAAAGCACCTGCCACTCACAGGTTATAGATGAACTGGATATGGAGCAAAAGGGGGAACGTTATGGCTTCACTTTGAGTCCACATAAGTGAGTGTTTGCACGTGCAAGGCCTCTTTTATTTGTGTCCGTGTATGTCTGGGATCTCTGCGTGGCGCGCGGTGGATGCTGTGCTTCCCTGCAGACTCAGTTTGGGATGCCGTCCAGAGCAGCACCAGCTCTCTCTCTCTCTCTCTCTCTCTCTCACACACACTCACACTCTATCACACCCGCCCACACAGTTTCTCCTGCACACACACGCTCTGTTACACCTGCCTACGCATTCTTTCTCGTGGGTGTAGACAAACAAGACATACACACACTTATCTCGGTGGTGGTGCACACGGCTCCAATTAGTTTGCACGCCTCTGAGGTTTTCAGTTTGCGGGGGTCCATGCTAAGGTTCCTCTGGTCTGGACAGGGCTTCACACAACTGTTTATCTACACACCTGTGCACAGTGTGTGTGTGGGGGTGACGTTTTGATGTGATTTAATATGCATATGTGTGGGCAGGTGAGATTTTATGCACGTGAACCGTTGGGGGGGGTTATCAGTGGTTCGTTGCAGCTTCAACCCCCCGCAGGCAGAACACCTTAATATCATGTCTTTGTGTGTTTATCCATGTGAACAGAAGCATTACAAAGAAGCCTACAGCCTTAATATCCTTTATGGCAGGTACAATAAAATCATTTGTAACAAACAGTGTTTTTGATGTACGGTTTGGAGGCTTTAATATATGTGAGGAAGAAAAGGATAGCCAGCTTTTATTACTTTTTCCTTTGATGAGACTTGAGGATTATTGGTTGTTTACAATGGGAGCCAGGCTTTATTAAAAGTCCTCGTCTGTTTGCCTGCCCACCTCATGTACCAAAACAAAGCTCTCAGTGTGGCTATATGGACTCAAACAGGTTGAGGAGCTCCTTCAAATCCCCGAAGCGTGGTGAGTGACACTCTGGGCTCTCAAGCCTTTGTGTTAACAGGAATAATCCATATTGTGCTTTTATTCATTTGCATCAAAAACCATGGGATGTGTTCCAGATAAGAGCTTTACTTAGAATAGTATGAAAAGAATAATGTATTTATTTTATACATTTCTTTTCATGTTGCTGCTCGAGAGCTTAAACTCTGTTTGCAATGATTAAAAACCACATTGTTTTTTTACCATAACAATCAATATTGGGTCATCAAATTAAGGTTGATTTAATAGATGCAGAGAAAAGAGAAAAGAAAAGCACAGGTGTATTCAATAATATTAACAAGGGCTCTGGTCCCCAGTTACCCAGAAGGCCATGCCAGCCAGTCGTTATTAATGTTATTAATTCAAGCTGTGTGTTTCCTGTTTCGACAGGAGAGTATTTATAGCCTGTTTGAGATCGTCTTACTATCAGGATATTATCTGGTGACTTTTACTATGAGAGAAAATGGTAGAAATGGTTATTATGGTATTGTGGAGTTACGGGATGGAGCTCCTCATGCTACACTGATTCTTATTCAGCTTCACCTCCCTCTGCCCTCCTTCACATTCACCCTGCCATGGCGGCCATGTCACCTCCTCCCCTTTTGTCTTCCTGGCCTTTCCCTGTTGTCTCCCCTCTGTAGTAGCTCAGACTACTCCACATGTCTTCCACCTCTCCTCTCCTCACCTTTACTCTCCAGTCTCTTGCACCACTACCCCTCACTGTGTGGCTCCCTCCTGAACTCCTTCCTCTCTTCCGCCCACTCATCACAATAAGCACCGCGTTGAGGATCCATATTGAATTATCGTGTTTGCCATTAGCCTCTGGGTTGATGGTGTAATTACCTCCATTCAGCAGGGTCCCTGTAAGCCTGACCCCGCCAACCCTGCATTTGCATTTCCACGGAGAACACTGGGTGACCTGTGCAACCAGAGATTTGGTCACGATGGGGAGAGTAGAGCTCCAGCCTTTGTCCACCTCTCCTCATTTCCATGTCAGTGTGCCCAAGGTGCAGGCAGGAGTAAGAACCGGAGTTAACAAGCTAGAAATACTTTATTGCCGAGGGCTACTTGCTGCCGTCACTGGATCAAAACAAACATTCCTTAATTCATTTTTCAATCTTTCCAAGTATGAATATGTATGCTGCCTTCGAGCACTTGATGCTCTGAGTCCGTGTCAAAATCAATGCCCAAAAATCTGCCACATCCCCGGGCAGACGCACAATCTGTTCATTCAAAATTAAAATATATTCTGTTGATCAGAGACTTGAATTGTTCAGATTGTTAAGAACCTTTGTTTTTCTCTCCCCCCGCCCAGGGCCGTTGCACACGAGAAAACTGCAAATACCTCCACCCGCCCGCTCACCTGAAGACCCAGCTGGAGATCAACGGGCGAAATAACCTGATCCAGCAGAAGACAGCGGCGGCCATGTTGTCTCAACAGATGCAGTTCATGATCCCCGGCACCACCATGCAACCCATGGTTAGTCAGTGTCCACGCAACGTGACTCACTAGGAAAATAGCTGTTGTTGTGCTGCACTGCTCAAAGTGTTGCTCTGTTGAATAAGACGTTATGAAGCTTTCATTATGCCTGTGTCATCATCAGCAGTGCATGATTCACTGAAAGAAAATCGTATTTTATTAGATGCCATGATGTTACCGCTTTTCTCTCAGATTACCTTGTTCTCAGATAACATCTCTAGGGAGCTCACGCATTTGTTTTTAAGTTATTGAGATGGCCTTGAGCAAAAGCACAAATCTCCCAGACTCCTCTCCGGGAGTCGCTCTGCAGTCAGGCTGTGGGTGCACTGGGCAGCTGCCAGGTGTGAACGTGTTTAACTGCATCAATGTAACGCTGGGTGAAGCCGAAAAAGAACATGCTCACTCAGCAAAACCTTCCCTGGGATTCATAGAGGTTAAAAAACCCTCTTCTCTTGTTTCTACCTTCCTCTTCTCTCTGAAACCTATTCCTCTCTGTTCCCCTGGCTCTTTCTCTCTACCTGTCACACCCTCTCCCCCACCTCACCTCTCGCTCATTTGTCTCTCCTTCCTCCAACTTCTCTACCCTCTTTCTGCCTTTCACCTTCCATTCCCCATTGTCCCCTCCCTACATTCATCATTTTTACATCAGCCATTTCTTTCGTCCCTGACTACCTTTTTTCAATCAAACAAAAAAAAGGACAGAATATTTGAAAGCAGCTCGAATAATTTGCGGTCTTTCTCTCCCTGTGAAGCAGACGTTTCCAATGAGCCAGGGCCTTGGATCCGGCGGTTTGAGCTACGCCCCCTACCTGACCCCCATGTCCCACAGTATGGGCCTGGTGCCCACAGACATCCTTCCCAGCAGCCCCTGCATGGTTCCCGGCAGCCCGCCCATCTCCATGAGCGGCTCTTCCTCCAACCAGAAACTGCTGCGTACCGACAAGCTGGAGGTGACACAACTAATCACAGCATCTCTTTCTCTCATACACACAAGAAGAGCATGACAGCTTATCATACCTAGTGATGTCGTGGAGAGTCCTGAAGTGTAATTATGATGAAACCTGTGATTATGGGTGTGAGATATGTGCGACTAATGACTATTATTCATAGCTCTGAAGTATTTACAGGGCCATAAGGGTTAAGTACAATAGTCACAAATACATTTCTCTTAAAGGTTTCACTCATTCTGTGTCGTAAATACCGAAACAAAAAAAAGAAGCTGGGTACCAAAGGAGTTGGCATGGCAACAAATACGCACATCCTTAACCTTTGAAGAACGTTTTGAATGCAACCACTTGTTGTGTAATTACCTAAAGCAAGTTTTCTGATGCATGAGAGTAATCATTGACCTAAAGGCATCAATTTAGGAGTTGTCTTTGAATACGTCATAAAAAGGCCCTCGAACTGCAGTACAGAAATAATTGAAGTATCAGAAACATAACGCGAAAAAAAAGGCCTACAGTAATTAAGGTTTGATATTGCTCAACGCAAACTGGTACTTGCTAGACAGCGGCAGTAAAGAATGGTTCAATTACGACAACTTCAACGTCCTCCATCTGCCCCTCGGCAAACGACACTCGTTTTTTTCCGAATATATTTTTGGAAGCTAAACAATAATCTCCCTAAGACCTGGAGGTGATGCGTAGGTGTGCGCCTGTATGTGTTTTTCTCCGGGAGTGCTATCACTTAGCAACTGAATGAAGTTGGCTCTAATGAAACAGTATCCCTGTGAGACACGTATACACTCCCACTCAAAAAGCAGCATGCGTGTGTACATGCGTTTCAGTCCCAGAGTGCAAGTCAAAAGCAGATCCCCATGTGATTATGCCCGGCCATGAGCGGTTGAGCACGGACTGGTTCAGTGACTCCACAATCATTTTGTTTGGCACACATTGCACTTAAGTTTCACGCTGTTCAGACCTTTTTATACCTTTTATAGCATGCGCTTAAAAACATGGGATTTTTACATCTGATGCAGCAGAACAAAGTAAATCCTTACTGTTTTAAGAAAGACATCGTGCAGGATTTTTCTCCTATTTCTTTTGTAAAAATAGTACACATGGTTTGAAAGCGTGAACTGTGAAGTATGGAAATATGTGTCAGGATTCCTATTTTTAACGTCAAATACTTCCAAAAACATCAATTATCTTGGAGATTTTAATGGCTGCCTGCTGTACTAGTTGGTTGATCAAGCACTACACCAAAACAATTTAATTAGAAGCAGCCAGCGTGTTAAATAATGTTTTGTGACGTGTTCTGGAAGCTCAAGTATTCACATTTGTATATCTCTCTCTGCTTATTTCTTTGCCTTCTCTTTCTTGCGCATCCCTACATCCCTACATCTGTGTGTCTGTCCACGTCTGCGTGTTTCTTTCGCCCACCTCTCGCTCCCAGGTGTGCCGTGAGTTTCAGCGAGGCAACTGCGCCCGCGGAGAGACCGACTGCCGCTTCGCCCACCCGAGCGACAGCCCCATGATCGACACCAGCGACAACACGGTCACCGTCTGCATGGACTACATCAAGAGCCGATGCTCCCGCGAGAAGTGCAAGTACTTCCACCCCCCCGCCCACCTGCAGGCCAAGATAAAGGCCGCCCAGCACCAGGCCAACCAGACAGCTGTGGCCGCGCAAGCCGCCGCCACGGCTGCAGCCATGGTGAGAGCTCAGCACTACAGCCGGCCTACTCTACACTCATATTGGTCCTTGTAGTAGCCAGACAAATATTTACAGAGCAGTGCTTATAGAGAGTACAGTTTACCTTGAAATTCCAACAAGAGCTTATCCTTTCATTGTGATATCCAGTGAGGCTTTATATCGCACCGAATAAACAAGTTATTATGGGGGGGGTGAAAGAGCGAGTAAACACGATTAATGCATTATTTTCACACAAATTACTTTAATATCGGCACCATTTTTAAATTGGAGATCATACGTCATTGTGTGGTGATCTCTTGGCTAATTGTACACACGTAACCACACTCTGAATACACGTGACATTATCACAAATCATCCCGGCTTACACCATATGTGTGCACACATGCTGTCGCCGGTGACACCCACAGTAACATAAAATGTGGAGCGCTGCTTTATTGCTGTATAAAACATACCCGCCTGTGCTGGTTCATTCTAGTGGACTCCGGCGTACTCTTCACCAACAATAGCCGAGGCCGTCGTTTACAATAATCAGGGTTTAGTTAGACCTATGTGCATCCGTATAATGTCGCAAGAACAATCTGTTATTATCTCACCGCAGTATGCTTTTATTTTCCAATGCCCTTGGTTCATACAGAGACAATGTGCTGGCTCACCCCCCATCCCACCTCCCCTCCCTGCTCTCAATGATAAGTGCGGCTCTCTGCAGATCAGTGTAAATTGAATCGGGGATGGATGAGGATGTAGCCTCACGGGCGGGGTTTACCCTCCTCTGCCTTTAGTTGGAGAAAATCCCATGACATGCTGAGGAAGAGACAGACAGAAGGGTTTGGCAGTGTGTGTGTCCCCCTCCCCAGGCTGAGTGGCTGCTGCACTCGCACACCTTGTACTGCGCCAGTGTGTTTTCTCCTTCCATGGCATGGGCATGCTTTATGCACATACCTCTTGTCATTGGCTGGCTCCATCGCTGCTTGCTCTCTTTGTCCTTCCTCCATAAGTCCATGCAGTGCCAATGACGAGTCGACAGGTCAATTTTGTAGCAGAAAAGCAGGGAAACAAGAACGAATTGGAACACACATAAATAAAAGACAGCCTGAGACCCAGAAGCGCTGTCACCTGACGTTGACCCCGTCTGTTTTCTTAAAGGAGAACTTTAGCTCAACAACTTCCCCACCAGGTGCACAATGCTCAGTCAAAAAGCACTAAATCGTCCCTGTGCATTCTTTACAATCCTGAGCCTCTCCTTACTCCTCTTGTGTTCCTCATATGCCCCACTTTATTAACTTTATGACCCAATTTGCCATCAGCAGTTACTGGCTTTTCCAGAGGGGAGCTGGGTTAACCTTAGGACAATGAGTTGTTTAGCCAGCACCTTAATCCAATTTTCTTTTAGCCCTTAGCCTAAGCTTAAGCACCTTTTGTTGAAGCGGAGCCCCATAAAACCTGTATTGCTGCACTGCTGCAAATAGGTAATATCATTATCCATAATTCACTTTATTTTTTTTAAGCAAATAGGCTAAAGTGTGCTGTAGATAAGGTTACACATGAACTGATACAGTTACAGTAAGAAGATCCTATTATGGAGATTATGTTGTTTTACTGTTCCACATTATGTGTTGCTTGCCATGCTGTAATCTTCTCCCTCATTGCAAGTGGAATGCGGTCATCTCTGCTTTTCATGTCACTTTAATTGGCCATCTTCCATTTGCACTAACCAGGGTGTTTAAGTGTGTTAACACTGCAGCAATGCATTGTCGCTCTTTATAATGTCATATACCAGTAGAGTATCTGCATACATTAAGCAAGAGGCTTGTGCATGGACCCCTCTAATGCTGTGCTCATCACATCCATGTCATCTTTTTTTTTTTCTCAGCAGTGACGGATGTACGTTTTTTAATAAATGAACAGTTACTACCTCGTTAGGGTTAGCTTCATACTAATGTAAAACGCTTCTAGGTCTTAAGATACTTGCTGTTTCTAGGAGGAATGTAAGAATAAACAGAACTCCACATTCTGTGATTATGACTCTCATTGTGTCACCTCCCCAAGTTCATTGATCACACTAACAAGCCACACGGTTTAGTTTAGGGTTTAAAGCACTAGACGTGAATTGACACCACCATAAATAAGTATTTGATCTGCTTTTAATCGGCTGGTTGGGACTAAAAATCTGCCTATAAAAATATGTCCACTTGTGAGGGCAGAGTTTATTATTTGAGGGGCTTTGACCAGAGCTCGCTCCCATCCAGACGGGTGTGTTAGACCTTTCTCTCGGCCCAAAGCACCTCCAGAAGCACTGTAATCATTGTGTGTGTAGCACCCTACCTGTGTGAAGTGTCAGCTTATTATCTGAATCAGTTGTGTTTACTGCATTTTCTTCTACCGAAATTAAACTTATTTACTTACTATAACTAAATGCTTACCCAGTAGTTTTGAAATACATCATAGAAACTTGCTTTTTGTTAACCGAAAGATAATATAGATGCTTTTTTTTTGCTTTTTATACTAATTCAAAAAAGGTAGTTTTCTTTGAAGTAAACAAAACAGTTTTTTGTTTATGTGCATGCCTATTGTTTTGTATGTGGTATACTTGCATTCAGATTATTTTTGTTTTTGTTTTTTTCCTTCTCACCTATCCACAATGCAATGCTGTCCCCCATGACGCACCTCTGCTTGCTGTTACCTGTATGTTAATACGCTTGAATCCCATTGGCCCACTGCCATCATGTGCTCGCTGCCTGCTAATTAAAGACTCAGTCGACTGCCAAAGCAATGAAGCGACCCCTCGAGGCAACTGTAGACCTGGTACTTTGACCTTTCACCTTTTGCTTTGCATGTAGCTTCTTTAATTGTACTGTAGCCACTCACACAATTTAAGTTGGCTCTCTTGTTTTTTGTGAAACCCTGTAAAATTCTAAATATTTTTGATCACAAGTAGCAATTCTAGATTGTACTGTACATGTATTAATGTAATGTTAAATTAATTTCTGTAATGTGTTATTGATTGCCTTGCTATGGTGTAGTTTCTCATTGTCCTTGTGATAGTTACAGCAAGCTTCCATTTGTGCCTTGTTGTGCTGTGCTTAGACAAATAACACATTTGCAAATATCACACTTGTGTAAGTATGCAGATCAAATCTTGTGTGTGTGTGTGTGTGTGTGTGTGTGTGTGTGTGTGTGTGTGTGTGTGTGTGTGTTTCGGTGTCCAGGCGTTCCCCCACGGCATCCTCCAGCCCCTACCAAAGAGACAAGCGATGGAGAAGTGTAACGGCTCGCTGTTCAACCCCAGTGTTTTGCACTACCAGCAGGCCCTGGCCAACGCACAGCTCCAGCAGCCCGCTTTCTTTCCCACAGGTAAGAGCGCCTCCAAACACAGAGGCACTCATCTAGAGCATGCAAACGCACAGAAACACCCACTGAATGTGCTTATCTAACCTCATCACAAATGTATCTTATTGTGCTAAGATCACCACTCATGATCGGTTTCGTGAGTTTAGTCCTAGATTTTCTTTTGATAAGTTTGAGTGACGTACATAAAAGTTCCTGCTATGAAAGTGTGTGTTAATGTTCCAAATATTCACTGTGCCAGCCCTAAACTTTGATTTAATTCCTGCCATTATACCACGTAGTGTCTGCCAGACTGAAGGGCAGTGCAGGCTTTGATCAGAGCCATAAAAAATATGAAATATTAAAACTTGGATTCGATGCACCTTTCTCAACCGTAGCACCAAAAGATACCAGAGGAGAAAAACAAGCCCAGTTGTTTCTAATGATAAGGAGGCTTTTAAGAGGAAAAGTGATTTATGTTTTGAGGTGCAATCTTCTCGGTGCGTCAATATCGGGAAAAAAAGGACAATTTTAAAAGAGCAATCGTCTTCTAGTCACTTGCTAAAATGACGTACAGGCCTGTAGCCACACTGAGTCATGAGGATGAGACTCCCATCCCTCACTCCACATTTTACCTGCTCGTTTGGTTTGCCTGTTATTTGAGATGCCTGACAGCCCCTGCTCTCTCCCTTCCTCCCCTCCCCCTCAGTATCAGTGTGTGGGAAGTAGCCCTGGGTTAAAGTCGTGTTTGCACATAATGTTATTACAGATCGGCTCGGTTTCAGATTGGTGGAGATTGAAAAACAACAATAGGAAGCAGATATATAAGGTTGACTGTAGTGACACGGAACTTTGATATTTTCCTACACCACAATTATGTTATTTGCATCGGTTTTGTGGCACCAAACTTTATGAGAAAGTACGAATATACAAAAGAATATTCCCTTTTTTAAATAATGTGTAAGAACATAGGCTTTGCTGCTTGTGGATCAGCAGAACAATGTGTATCAACTTTATTAACAGAAGTACAACAAATCACACTCTCAGATACGTAAATGACTGATTATTCATCATTTACTCCACATCTGTGAGCCAATAATCATTGATCCAGCTTTGCCAACATATTATACATTATTTCAGAACCGTATACTTTAGTTTGCTTTATGTTTGTTTAACAGCATTTCCTCACTTATGCTATAACTGAATAAGGGGACTCCTCTGCTTGCTCCTGCATTCACGGCTCCACTGTAGCATCCACTGTAGACCTTTTTATTTTGGTCTTGTCTAACTTTGTTGATATCCTCCCTCTCAATTAACCCATTTATTTCCTCCTCCTCTCTCTCTCTCTCTCTCCCTCTCTGTCTCCCCCCTCTCCCTCTCTGTCTTTCTCTGCATGAACACAACAGGGTCAGTCTTGTGCATGACACCTACTAGCGGTCTTGGTAGGTCTTGCCCTTCCCTTTGCTCTCTCACACACACTGTATGATGTATGGGGGTGGGGGGGTCGCGGGCAATATCTGCAACGCTTGCAGGTGAGACAATAGGTCACCGCATTTCCACCTGTGGCACTGGTGGTAAACCTGGAAATGTCTATTTGTTTGTCCTGGGATAATATATGGAAAACACTTCTTTTTTTTTGTGTCACCTGAAAGAGTTGTGACTTTCTTCCCCTCCTGACCTACTCGCTAATGTTTATACATGATGAAGATGGTAGATAGAATACTGTAGGATAGCTACTGTCTGTTTGCTGTGCTGTGTTGATCAGGAAATTGAAATCAGTTTCCCAGAGAAGTTATTCCACAGCCGGAGTATTTTTCTCCGCTAAAAGGGGATTGGAATTACAAGAAGTCCGCAATAATTGGAAATGGATGACAAGGAATAATGATTGTAAGCGTAATCTCTGTCAGAGGAGCATGTTTTTGGCATGGAGTAGCTGCCTGGCGTCTTCCTGCTTGTCAGCCCACATGAATTAGAAAAACAAAATTTCCATCCCCGCTGCCAGAAAAACGCCATTGATTCATTGTAATTGGTGTCTTGCGCGCTCAACTTCTCTGGGAAAAACTGCAAACTGATTCTCCGTATACATTTCCTTACTTGTGATTGTAATCAGCTTCTCTCCTCTTGTTTTTGTTTGTTTTTTCTCCCATGCTCTTTCTCTCTCTCTCTCTCTTCCTTTCTTTCTGTCCTCCTTGCTTTGCATTGTGAATGGGTGCATGCCATCTGCCGGTGTAAACTTAACGATGGCTTGCTGGCTCTCTGTAACATCCTGCCCACCATCAACAACATCTACGACAACAAACGCATCACAACTGTTGCCCTGGTTACCATAATGCTACCTTTCCATTGCTACCACCTCCTTCCCTCTCCCCCAATTCCTCCACCTCCTCCTCCTCCTCCTTTCCCACCCTGAAAACATAGTCCCAATGATGTACAGTGCTTCGCCTGCTACTGTCTCTGCAGCAACAACTCCTGCCACAAGTGTCCCCTACGCAGCAACAGCACCAGCCAATCAGGTTTGCTCCTTTTAAAGCTTTCTTTCATCAGTCCCTGGAGCTCTGAATAAGTACTAGCCTCTAATAGTCGGCTGCAATAACCTGCAGCTGAGCCCCCCCCCCTCCTCAACCAAACATCCGCCCGCACTGGGCATGAGAGCCTGTATTTTCCAGAGCTACCGTTGCTCATATTTCTTGTAAAACATCACAACAAGCACTTCTTCAGAGCTCCCACATTTGCAGAGTAGTATTTGTGTTGCACTACTTCCTGGTTTTGTTTTGCATGTTCTGTTTTAAGTTTCCACTTTTCTCGTTGTTGTCAAATAAGCCTCTTCATCTGCAATAGAGGGCATCATCTGTACTGCTTGTGTGCTAAGCAAACACACATGCTTAAGCAAACACATACAGGCCATGTTGGATTTTTCCACCCACTTCACCTTTTTACCTTTTTCTGGACGCGGGATAAAAAGGGCGAATAAATCATGTGAGGGAACGATAGTGTCAGAGTGAGACAGACACAGGAAAAATGATCACAGAGGCTGTCTAAAAATGGCCTCTGATCGGCTCTCCTGTTGCTGCGTGTCAGCAGGAGCAAGGGAAGCAGGGCCAGGTTTGAATGCCACAGTGACGCATGCGTGGAAATGTCTGCACAATGCTTGCGCCCCGGCCTCACGCAGCTGGTAATCATTTACTGGTAGTACGCTATGTAGAGGTGCCTTGAGGACACGCAGATGAACAGATTAGAAGTGTTCCACAGGTACACATGTGCCATTACTGGAAAACAACCACACTATCAGCGGGGGAAGAATTGGCCACATTTGTATCATTGTTTGTCAGAGGCAGTTGGGATGAGTATAAATTGACTTTAATGTATTCATTTTATTCAAAAACAAATGCAAGCATGATGGAGACATGTGAAATGGCACACTAAAGGGAGCTTTAGAATAAATAAGGGCCAAGACACTCAACATCATCATTAGTTAACACAAAAATGTTCTTTATTTGTGCCCTAAATGGACAGAAAAACTTAAATTACAATTTTAAACCTTTAAAAATAAAAAAAGAACTCTTATATCCCATTTTGAATAATAAAAAAGATGAGAGCGGAAGGATGGTGTAAAAAAAAAAAAAAATGACGGGCTCATTTTCAAATTTAAAAACAATAAAGTTAATCGTTGTTCCATCGTAAACGGATGATCCGGCCCGGTACCTTGCTCTTTATTGCCCCTCACAGGCCAGCAGTGTGTGCACTTCCTGCGAGACACCATCCCTTCCTGTAATTGGCATGCAGCAGCAGTAGCAGCAGGAAGCAGAGCTGCTCTTTAAAGATGCATGTGGGACAAGGAGAAACACTGACGTCAGCCTCGCTGTCTGTCTCCGTCTGCTCCCCCCATCCACCACACTGCACAAAGATCACTCCAGCTAGGACACAGTTAACACGTCTCATCACGAGCTGTACTGGGCGGAGGGCATGCCTTGTTTACTACATCTTATGGTCCTTCAGAATAAACACCCAGAATTTGTTTTTTGTAAATACATGACGTCGTTGTTTCCTGAAAACCAAACCTGTCTGTCAGAATCTATGAGGTGCAAACCCTGAGATTGTGCTAACGAAGCATTAGCCTTTGGCATCGCCTTGATTGTTTTGTGGCTTTTTTGAGTTGATTTGGACTTAGTGAGGGGAATAAAATTGGCATAGTGATATTAATACTTCTGTATCTGGAGCTATAGGCCTGTGTTTTGGTCCCCTCTCAGACGTAGGTTAAAAAAGACACACACATGCTTTGAGGAACAGGATGTTGCAGACACATTAAGAGGTTCAGAGTCTGGTCAACTCTCCACAGTCTGAGCTGTGACATGACAAGCAAGAACCAATCACATCATCATGTTCCAGCTCATATTAACCATGTGCTAGGAACTGGTGTCTCTTACTGGTAACGTTGCAGCGCCCTCTAATGTCAGAATATGGCATTACATGACATGCTTTGCAGGCTGTGTGTGATCCACCTAGATAGAAAGATATGTTTATTTGTATTAAACATAATTTAGAGACTGTATGTATTTTAGAACATTTAATCCTCCATCTTCGCCTAGGCTGAAACATGCTGTTAGTAAATCTGCAGCATAGGACCTGCGAACAGTCCCTGGTGTTTGTTTTCACCCACCTGTGGTGCCAGACGGGTGGAGTGTAACATATTTTCACACTGCACACCACACACTCTCCACCTGCAGCGTCCTTCTGTGATGTGTGATGCGACCAGTGGCTTCTGTCCTTTGCTGACTCTCTATTGTATATTAACACTCACCATGCTGCAGGGCTTTGTTCTGGCTGCTAGGGGCAACCACATAATGGCAGCTACCTGTCCTCCCCCCATGAACAATCTGTCCCTCTTCTTCTCTCTTTCTCTTCGTTGTGTGTTGGGTCAGTGTTTATCTCCCAAAGAGAGAATACACACAGACGTGGCTGGACCTAGGTCAAATACTATTTGCAAATCCGGAGAAGCTTTGGCTCCAATTTGTATGAAACATCAGGGACCTTCACCATAAACACAGAAAATGATAATATGTCTCAACAAACCACATTTTGTCAAATGTCTAAAGGCAAACATTTGTATGTGAGTCTGGAATGGCCAAAAATGGTCCTGACTGCATCTCACTGCCTTCCGGATGTCTTTCTCTCCACAACCCTTTAGAGCAGGGGCGTCCAAACTACGGCCCGGGGGCCAAATGCGGCCCAAGGTCCATTTTGAATCGGCCCTCAGCAAATTCAAAAAGTATAATGGATTATGACCCAAATGAAACTTGAGCTTGTCTTATATTGTACTTCTTAAATATATCTGTATACACACATTAGTGTTTATGTGTTAGGAAGCCCAATTTACAATAAATTAAATCTAACAAATCTAAGTTGATAACAAAAAGAGCCCAATAACTTATTTACATAACATCCTGGAAATATACCCTTCATATTTCCTCTTATGATAATCACTCTGAGGCTTCTGTTTTAAGGAATGAGCTGCTGACCAAATAAAGTAAACCCTATGGAAAGCTGTGACGTAAGCTGTTTATTTTTCTCAAAGCATAATCAGTTATCAAGAATAATTGACCTACATTTGATTGATCTTGCTAACTTATAACTTAACTTATGAGGCAATAAACCTCCCTTCTAGTAAGTGGCCTGGCCCTTTGAAGATTTTTCTGTATGTGGCCGTCGGTGAAAAAAGTTTGGACACCCCTGATTTAGCTGATGCTTTCATACAAAGTAACTTAACATAGGTGCAATAAACCAAAACGATTTAAAAACCTTTTTTTTAAAGTGAAGATTTATTTGCTTCAAACAAGCTACTTCAATGTATTTGATTTAATGACCAAGGTATAAGCGAAACAGATGGGTCTTTAGTTTGCAGTGGAAGATGTGTAGACTTTCTGCTGTCCTGATACCAGCGGAAAGCTCGGTCCACAATTAACCTGTGAAGCCCGGAGCCTGTTTTTCAGGTCTCAGGCTCGAAAATGACATTCCCAGAACAATTGACTATATATTCACTTCTAACAGGGGTAAATGAATAATCTTTTTGTTCAAAGCAATGATAAACCTGTGAGTTGGATGTACAAAAGTCAGAATCAATATAGATGTTTTTATTTTAAAGTAAATTGAACATAGTAACAAAATGTAAATTATAGTTTCTATCCAAAAAAAAACATTACTTACAGTGAAAAACCACCGTTGAATGATGAGATAGTAGACAAACAGATTTTGGAATCCAAACTATAACATATAATAAGTACCCTGTATCAAGATTGATGCAAAACAAGTGACATTCGACCTTTTTAGAGAGATTTAGAAAAAAGAACCCACTTCTGGGGTCATTTGGGTGCATTTGCCATATCTCTGGAACCCATCGGTCGATTTTGATGATTGACATCTCTTTTTAATCGTTAGAGCCAATGGAATCGAGGGGAAGTTCCTAAAATCCATCTAAACATTACCATTGGTGAATGAGAGTGATGCGCAGCCAGTATGCCCAAAACCGGAAGCTCTCATGCACTTTCGTTGCTCTCATAGCAGCTATATATGAAAACTACTCTTATTGACATAAATATTATGATGGATTATCAGCAATCATTGCAAAGTGACACAGAGACATTGGATCAACCTTCAGTGTTTATATGCGTTTTAATGCCATTAAACACAACTTTTGATCAGAAAACAGCAAAGTTAATACGTTATTTGCCCTTTTGGTGAGTTATGGTCACACAGTCATGATACGAATACCATTGGAATCTGTGGAATCTCAGCTTTCACACGAAATCTTGTTTGTGCAGATCCAATGAAGTATACAATATTTCTACCGTGAGTTATGTGCTAAGTGCTTTAGCACTCTTTCGCTTAGTGCTAATTCAGACGCTTGGCTTTAAAGTTGTGTTTTGTTTCGGTCAAAATGGTTCATATCGTCAGTTAGCTGAGTTTCTTCCCATTAAGTGGGTATGACACATTAATAGGTTGTTAAATGTTAAGAAGCCCTGAAACACAGTTTTGTGAAAAAAAAGCCAGCGGACGGGGGCTATGGGGCTTAACAGGTTAACCATCCATAACACAAACGTTTACATATTTACCTCCAACAACAAGAAGTTTAACCCCCAACAATACAAACGCTGTCTCTTTACCAACATCAACACAAACTTCATCTCCAAAAACACAAACTTTTACTTTCTTATTTTCGCTAAACTTGCAAAAACATACTTTGTTTGAATCTTGAGCATTCCTTAAAGTTGTAATTGTCCCGACGGCAAGCATTGCTGATGTGAGGAAAAACTAAGATCTGAAGACAAATCTGAAGGAGAAAGTATCTGAATTTCTATTGAACAGAGGCTTTATAGAGGGGAGAGCAGCAGGAGAGTTTCTTCAACTCAGATAAACAACTCTTAAGTCTCTGAAGATCTCCAGGAGAGGCTGTAAGATGCCTGCAGAGCAGGAGCAGTCACTCCAGCTGCTCATCGCCTTCAGATGGCAGAAAGAGAAACAGAAAGGCAGCCGGTGATGAAATGATATGCAACACCGAGCTGTTCCAATCTGGGCTTTGACTTTTTGAACCCTGCGGTCCAGATGAAAAGATGTGGAGGATTTACGAAGGGAGGATGCAGTTATCTGTGTTTGTTTCCAACATAAAGTGCAAGTTTAGCCACAAGCTGTGAACTGAAACATCCTCAGAGAAGATGCTTCATCTTGACTCTTTGCAATCACTAAAAAAACCTTTATTAAATCCTTATTTCTCCCTAAAATCACAAAACACGTACATCTACGGACTGGTTGCAGTGAAGAATGATCAAGAATAAGAAAACAGTACAAGTACTTGTTAAAGGGGATACATTATGAAAAAATTTATTTTCTTGTGCTTTTACATTTGGGTATTTGGAGTGTCGACAAGCCCCCAAACTGTGAGATAAGACAATGCAGTCCAATGCAACGCAATGAGTTACAGACGTAGGGTGAACGCAGGCATATTCCACTGATATGGGAATGATTAGTTTCATTACATAACAGGAAATATATAGCGAGATAGGAAAGACAGTTTGTAATGGAGGGACGCGAATGGAGAAGTTTGATGAATGACTCATGAACACATCAGATGTAACACCTGACTGCTTTCTGTTTCCTATGATTCCACCAATGGAAAACCATCCAACCATAAAAAAGAAGTTCAACACGTAAAACGACGGTGCTTTTGGTAGGAAACAACAAGTTAGATAACATGAAAGGTTGAAAGCTGGTAAAACGTTGGACCGTGATAGGACTGATAGGTGATGTATCAGAAGGGATGGACAAACAAATGTTTAGTTGTTGTTAAATCAGCGTGCTTTTTGTCTTACGGTCAACGCAGGTCGGTCTGGCGCGAGTCGTCCCGGCGATCTGTCCTTTCTTGCAGGCGC